GATTCACTTAACAACCGTGTTACTGACTTAACAACTTCAATGATTCACTTAACAACTCTGGTAAGAAAGGTCGTAAAATCGGGCAAAATTCATTTAACCACCACCTCACTTAGCAACAGAAATTTTGTGCTACATTGTGGTCATAAGCTGAGGACTACCTGTACACACCTAAACTTCATTTAACGACAGATTCATGGCCATCTTCATCTGTGGAAGGTGTTGCTTTATTTTTTTAAAAAATATTATTATTGCTTTTAAATCCTTGCATTACTTTCCTTAAACTTGGAGATACAAGCCAATTCAGATGTTTTTAATAAAACTAGATTTGTCATGGAGCAATAACTTGGGCTTCCAAGCCTGCTCCCCTCGGCTCTTTACAAAGGTTTTCCATGCTGCAAGGCTCCCAAATCTTCTGAGGTCTGGAAAAAGAGACAAGTGCTGGCTGAGTTAATGAATGTTTACCCAAAATGACAGCCATAAAGTAGAAGCTCTGTGAGGTCTGCCAAGGCCCTGTCAGCTCTCCGCCTCTGTGTGTACAAAACTAATGGGACTAAAACAAGTCCAGAGCTTTCCCTCAATTTGTCTTTGTGGATTTCAGCAACTGAGAAGAATTCTAAGCCTTGGCAGCCTCCATCACTTTTCAGCTTACAATAGCTGACTTGGTAGACTGTTAAGGTTTAATGCATCCAGCAGGAAGGAATTGAGGTCTGGTGGATCTCATCTTGAAGGAACCTTTGTCTTTTCACCAGACAAGTAATTTACTCTCTCTCTCTCTCTCTCTCTCTCATCTCTTGGTAGCTGCAGAGGATATTCCAAGTTTTGATCTGGAGGAGTTGTAGATAATGCACTTGTGCATGGTCCAAGCAACAGACCAAAAATAGTAAACTAGGGCATCAAATTGCTTAAGATTTTTTTTTTGGTCTAGTCATTACTAGTTACAGGTAGAGTAGTGTGGTGGTCAAGACATTCATGTCTCACCAGGAAGGTTGAGAGTTTAATTGTAGATCGGAACAGATGTTTCTCTCTCGGGGCACAAAGAGAAAATAACTGCTGCGAACTTCACATAGGTGTCAGGAAGGGCATCCGGCCAGTAAACGCTCAGCTTCATTTAGTCACCCAGACTCTATCCCGAATAAAGGGATTATAGTCGTAAAAATAAAAATCTAGTTATGGGTAGTCCTAGACTTAGGAATGCTCACTTAGCAGCTTTTGGAATTACAAAGAACACCCCCTCCCCTGAAAGTTACTTACCGATTTTGATGTTACAATGACTGCATGTGCTCACACACATACACGCACACAAAGTCATGGGGTCACATTTTAGACCTTTGTCAACCAGATCACTTTTATAGCTGTTTGCAGAATCCTGAGGTCACATGACTCTGATTTTCAGTGGGTTTCTTTGCTAGTTTCTGGCATTTACTTCCATTTCTTGCAAAACAAAAAACAAAAAAAGAACCTCCCATTGGGTAAAATGGATTTGCCTTAATGACTGGTGGAAAAAAATGCTGAAAAATGGGCTCCAGTCATAGGGTGCCCTGACTTAACAACTACAAACATCTTATGACCATAATACTGAACTCAATTATAGTTGTAAGCTAAGGTACAGGTCTTAAAATAGTTATGATTCTTAAAAAAACAAAACAGATAACAGATCATTAGAGTTGGAAAGGACCTTGTAGGTCATCTAGTCCACCCCCACCCCCACCCAAGCGGGAGACCCTATACCATTTCTGACAGATGGCAGTCCAATCTCTTCTTGAAAGCCTCCAGTGATGGTGCTCCCCCAACTTCCGAGGTCAACTTCTGTTCCATGGGTTGATTGTTCTTGCTGTCAGAAAGTTTCTCCTTATTTCCAGGTTAAATCTCTACTTGATCAGTTTCCATCCATTATTCCTTGTCTGGCCTACAGGCACTTTAGAAAATAGCTTGACCCCTTCCTCTCTGTGGCAGCCCCTCAAATATCGGAAGACCGCTATCATGTCTCCCCTGGTCCTTCTCTTTACTAGACTAGCCAAGCCCAGTTCCTGTAATTGTTCTTCATATGCCTTCGTCTTCAGTCCCTTAATCATCCTGGTTGCTCTTCTCTGCACTTTTTCTAGAGTCTCAACATCTTTTTTATAATGTGGTGACCCAAACTGGACGCAGGAGCTCTAGGTGTGGTCTTTATAGAGTGGTATTAGTGCTTCACTTGATCTATTATAAAATAAAAAGACTGTCTCATGGAGAAAGCTGACTCAGTAAACAGTGTGCTCTTAGTGATTAGCTATTGACGATAGCTCCACTTTGTTCCAATGTCTGGAGACTCTGTGGGTTTGAACGGGGAGGAAAAGGCCTAAGTTGAATCCAGATAAGGTTGAGTGGCTGTGGATGTTTGGACGGCCTAAGAGTCGAGTGATTCCATATTTAGCTGTAAATGGGGTCCCACTTCCTATTTCAGAGCTAGTGCACAATTCGAGGGTCTTTTTGGACTTAATAGTGCTTATTGATGAAGCAGATGGCAGCTGTGACCAGAAGGCCTTTGCATAGGTTACCTATTATGACAGTGGTGCTCATATCTCAACAGGGAGGCCCTTAAGGCAGTTACACGTGCTTTGATAATTCACGTCTAGACTATTGCAATGAGTTTTAGATGGGGCTACCCTTGAAGACTACTCAGGAGCTATAACTGGTCCCAAATGCAGTAACACGGCAGTTACGAGTGTGCCATTGTATGCCCACGTAACATCTCTGCTGCTGTGGGGGCTTTTTTTGGTTATCAGTAGACTAGCAGGTACAGTTCCGTGTGCTGGTTACTGTCTATAAAGCCCATCATGACAAATCAGTCTGTTTATTTGAGGGACTGAGAGGTCCTTGGTGCTCTGTTTTCTTGCAGACTTTTCATTACTCAAACTAAGTAACATCATCCATACTAGTGATCTGTGACTTGCACTGATGACGTTACCTAGTTTGGATAATGATACATCTGCAAGAAAACAAGCAAACTCAGAGAGCACCAAGCAGGGGTGGGATTCTACCAGTTCGCACCTATTCACTAGAACCGGTTGTTAACATTCTATGCAGTTCAGAGAACCGGTTGTTAGAAGAAATTACTGGCCTAATCCTGTAAGGAAGGCAGGAAGGAAACATTCTGGTGTTGCTTACAGAAACTGCCTCTCCTTTAACCCTTATTACATTCTTGGCAGGACTGGGCTTCCTGTCTCAAGAAGATCTCTGGAGTTATTTTTCCCCTTCATTTGCTGGTACTTTGCTCGTGTGGAGTGACCATTCAAAGTTACAATGGCACTGAAAAAAGTGACTTTTTTCACACTTACGATTGTTGCAGCATCCTCACAGTCATGAGAGGCCAGGCGAGGAGATGTGTGCCTCGATGTAAGTCATATTGAGTTGGCCACGCCCAGCCAATAACATGATCACCAAGCCATGTCCACCCAGTCACATGACCACCAAGCCATGCCCACCACCTAAGCCACGCCCACAGAACCGGTTGTTAAAAAATTTGAATCCCACCCCTGGCACCAAGGACCCCCTCATTTCAACCCCAAGTTACAAATATTCTCCTTTGGGGAATCCCTTGTAACTTTTGCCCAAGCCATACATTCTGACACACTTGGCGTGTTCCTGGTTCCATCAATTAGAAAGTGCCATCTGGTGGGACCCAACAATCTGCTCTTCTGTGTCATGATACCTGTCCTCAGGAAACATTCACCCTGAGATTCACATGGCTCTCACTTTAACTCTGTTTAAATGTGCTTTCAAGAGCTGGTTCCCACAGTCTTCCAGTACCATGAATGATGCACCCCTTTGGTGGCACTTTGATTTTTTGTTGGGATTTTTTTTCGGATTTTTTTTAAAAATTCTTGTTTTGTATCGTTTTGATTTTGCAAGCTGACCCAGAGCTATGATTTTGTGAATGAGCAAATAAATAAATAAGTAAACAAATAGGCAAGCACCATAAAATGTCCTGGCATGAGTAAAATTGCCCATATCTTAAGTGTCCTTCAAGAGGTTCCGCTCAACTACTTCAAAAGCTTTCCTTGGCTGTCACACACAGCTTGTTAATTTCAGTGGTATGTGTTGCAGGAGTGTTGTTTATTTGGAGATAATCTAGGAAAGCTTTTGAAGCTCCATTGGCACCGAAAGGATTGAGTCATCTCAATTTGTCATCTCAGGAGGCTTAAAAAATAATCACAAGAAGAGTGCCTTCACTCTTTTGATGCCATACTCTAAACCTGAGATGCTCTCGCAATTGACATTCATCTTTGAGTCATTTGTGGTGGTAAACAAAGAGTTTCATTGGATTTCTTCACATGAAGCGTTTAATTTTATTACTTAATATATTTGTACTCTTGTTTTCAAAAACCGTTTGTGGCTTTGTTAATTCTCGCTGGTAAACAAATCGGGGATGGTTGGTGTTGATCCTTCATCTTCTCTCATAAAGAAAGGTCAGGCTGCAAATGGTTAGCTTTTCGTAGTTAGTTTTTCTATCAGGATGTAAAACATTAATAGAAAATCAGCCAGATTCTAAGTGGTTTAGATAGATAGATAGATAAATAGATAGATAGATAGATAGATAGATAGATAGATAGATAGATAGATA